AAAATGCTTATATACATTTATTCTAATATATGTTTCTGTATTCTTGACTGTTAAAGATGAGATTCTCATTGAATTTGGGGTAACTGTCTCCCTACTCAAAAGAAGCACAACATCCATATAGCATCCAGCATTATATTTTAAAATATGAAACCTATTAAACACATGAGCTGGAAATCTCCTTGTGAAAATCTGTAAATATTCCTTGGATTTTCACAATATGTCTGCATTTGTGGATAATTTGATCCTAACTACTTTAATTTTAATTTTTAAACTTTTTAATATGAAATTAAATCTAATTATTTCCTATTCCTGTTTTCACAGTACGTTACATTTAACAAGGTAATTCTCAAAAGGAGTTTGTTTACTTGAGTTTAACAGGATATAATGTTTAAATATTAGCAGTACAGTAAGTAAAGTTAAAAATTGGTTTGCACATCCCAGAACAAACTCATCAATTACCATCATGGGCAAAACAGACTCATCTTGAGGAAATTAATTTCATTTATTACCAGTCACATCTGAGTAGGATAATACACCCAAAACTTAAAAACACCTTCTCCCTTTCTTCCTGGGCATTCTTCTCTACCTCCTGCCCCTCAGCAGCCCAGGGGAAAGGGGAATGGTAGCCGTGGTCAGTTCCTCAGACACCTCTGCTTCTTCCTCTGCTTGGAGAGGACTCCTCTCACTCTTGACAGAATTACAGCATGGGCCACGCTGGAAGGGACCACAGGGGTCATCCGGTCCCCTGTTCCAGCAGGGCCATCCCAGAGCACATGACACAGGATTGCATCTGGAGAGTTCTTGCCTGTCTCCAGTTAGGGAAGCCTCACATCCTCTCTGGGCAGTCTGTTCCAGTGCAGCAGTCCCTGCCATTGCCTCTTGTCCTATTGCTCGGCACCCTGAGCAGAGCCTGGCTCCAGTCTCTTGCCACCCCACCTTCAGATACTCCTGGGCACTGCTGAGGTCCCCTCTCAGTCACCCCTTCTCAAGGCTGAACAGGCTCTGCTGCCTCAAGCTTTCCTCGGAAGTCTGTCCTGGAGCCAGCTGCCATTGGCTCTGTCGAACAAGGAGGGAGCTTCTGGAAGCTGCTCACAGGAGTCCCCTCTGCCGCCCCACCCCCACACAAAACCTTGCCATGCAAACCCAGTATGCATAATTTTTGAGATGGTAACTTTTAAAACTCTCCTAGTATGACAGCTTGAAGTAGAGCATACCCTGTTTAACTGATTTGTACTTTCACTACTGTCTTAGTTAGGACTGATGAAAATTTGTCATGTCCTGCCTAACAGCAAGTTATGATAAAAGAAATACTTCTGAAGTAATTCAAGTCATAAATGAAAATACACTGCGAAAAATCTTATGTTAATAATGTATAGAAAGGTTATTGTCATATTGCTGTTAAATACTTGCTAGTTTCTTTAAAAAAATATTTTTCTAAGAACTGACTTGGATGTGATGTGTTTCCCTGGTAGTTCTGGTAGTGGTTGTGTAGAAAATGTTACAATTTAGACACCAGAATTAGTTAGGGAGATTGTCAACTTTGCAGTTGTTGCAGGTAGATCATAGAGTTCTGTTTTAGTGGTTTTGGTTAGCTTGAAAACTCTTAGACTTGCTGGAGACAGGGACTGAATTCTTTTTGTTAGCTTGTTTTTCTGAGGAGAATTAGGAAGGTACAAGTGAATTCTCGAGTTTAATTAAAGTGTTAACTACCTAAGAGCTTTCAGAGTGCTGTATATAGACTAAAAATTGTGGACATATCTTAAAAATTGTCATCCTGCCCTAATGCTTGCAGCTATCCTAAATTTTGATTTCTAAAGTTGAGCACTGGGGAAACCAGTAAATTTGGTTTGTGTAATTTTCTGAAGTATCTTTTTCATTCTAGGAAACTTACAAAGTTGATACAATAAATGAGGTGAGGAAGAGCTCATTTCACTGCTGGAATTAGCTCCCAATTTTCATGTTCACTTGAATGGTTCCTATCTGGTGTAATGTGCTGGTAATTCAATCCAGAGCAATCACTGCAGAACAGACTTACTACAGAAGTCACTGGCTAAAGATTCCTCAATAGCAAGCCAGTAGAGGAGTGCTGGAGTTTCTTGAGTCTCTTTGTAGTCCTCAGTTATGATACTTACTGGTGCTGGTTATGTGCTACCAAATCCATGTAGTTGATGGTAACTTGCCATATTTCAGACCTGAAAGTTTTTTATAGTTCCAACAGATGTAATCTGCAATTCGTTGTTTTAAATGTAGTGTAGGATCCAGGAAGGCATGTCACCATGGAAGGTAGAAGAGCTGTTACTATATTCCAGTGACTTTATTGTTGGGAGACATTGCATGCTACAGTTTATAGAGAATATCTGCATAAATAGGTGCAAAGTTTCCTGTTTATTCTGAGCTGGCCAAATGCTGCCTCTCTCTAGTATTCTTAAGACAATCTAATAATGTTAGTATGTGGGCAACACTTCGTTCGTATTTCAAAATATGATGTTACAAGTTATCAGAATTTCCACAAACTTACGTTTAAGTCATTAATCTTTTCTTAAACTTGTATTGGATTCTTAAAAACTATGGAGCTTGGTAGAAAAACATTTTCTAACACCATTTGTCTAGTAAGGTAAATTCTTCAGTAAAACCAAAAAATGCATGATAAATTGTACAGTATTTATGGAATTTTAAGAAAGGATCTGGAATTACAAGCAGTTGTATCTACTGAAATCGAACATTTTGTCACTTAAGATTAAGAAATAATTTTAAATAGAATGTATTATGTTACAGTTTCAATAGGTTTCACCAAAAGTTGAATGAAATATATTTCAACAGGCAGTCAATAAAATGCTTTAAAATTTGCCGTGAGGTTGCTGGTAACTCTTGGGTGTATTATATACAGCTGAACTTGCACATTACTGTTCTTGGTAGTGGCTGTGTGCAGTAAAGGAGGAACATCAAACCTTTTACAGTTTTTTACTGTAGTGTGCTATAGTAGTTATCTTGCATATTTTCTACATAAATAATCTTTAAATATAACCTGAAGCTTCTTAGTATTTTGTATATCATTAAGATGTTTCAGCAAAGATATTGGCTTTTATCTAATTATCCATAGGAAGGATTGCAGAGGTGAGTATTTGCAAAGACCATGAATTAGCAGAGGCATAACAAGCTATTTAAAGATTAATAGAGATAGAGAACACCAGAATTTTTAAAATGGAAAGATGCTTATGTTCTGGTTGTTACCTGTTTTCCTTCATGTGTCATTGTTACTCTTCTGGTACTACCAATTTCAGCAGCTGTTTATGGCCTTCTACTCATCTCTTTGTGGGCACAGTTCACTACAGATGAGGCTTTCAGTTTACTTCTCCATACCATTTACTATCCTTCCCTTTCTGGGTTCTTATGTAAACCTCATTGCTATTGTCATGTTTACAGAAATTTAACCCCTGCTTTTAGGTATATGCCTAGGTCACTGTTGAAAGCCTGTAAAAAGAAACAGCCGTTTAAGAGTTGGATTTCCTGTTTCCAAAGTTAAAGTAACTGCTTATATAAATGATTAATCATTCAAGATAGCATGATAGAATATTTCTTTTATTTTTCTTCTTTATTTTCTGCTTTTAGAGATTGAAAGCAGCCTTGACCCAGCAGCACCCTCAGGTAACAAATGGAGATACTGCCAAGGGACATGCAAGTGGGTTGGTTAGGACTCAGTCAGAGGAACCACGGCCACAGTCACTACAACAGCCTGCAACTTCAACAACTGAAACACCGGTATGACAACAGTGGACACGTGCCGCCTACCCCCTTTTTTTATTTTGCAAATACATATATTTTTTTCTATACTCTTGGTTTTTGAAATAGAGATTTAACAGACTCCTCTTGTAGTCAATAGCTCTATAATAGTAAAAGGTTTACAGATCTTACATGTTCTTAAATACTTCTAAAATCTATTATCCAAAAAACAGGTAGTATCTATGCTCAAATGTAGAACTATGTCCTGATTTCTCAAGTTTATTGATAGAAGATTCTGTGGTAGCTGAATTTTTTACAGCTGGTCAGTATATATATATTTGAAAAAATAAGTGCTTCTATTTTGTGTTCTGTTGCATCTGTTTCACATTTATTATATTTTATATCATAAATGCGGTTAGAAATTGTTTTATTGCATCAGGTATTGTGCTTGCATTAATTTGCTTGAAGGATTTTTTCTGGGCTGCCACAGGAAGAGTTTCAGCTGTATCATTAAGTGTACTTCATCTCTGGCTCTGGAAGGGGGGCTCTGGTTTTAGGTATGATTTGTTGTCCTTTTGGGACGATAGATCAGAATAGGGGAGTAAAAGGCAGAACCTCTGAGTCAGACTGGAAGTGGGCATGCTGCTGGAGGAAAGATACACTTCCCGGTGAATCCTGGAGGACAGTAGCTGTTCTATTTCTAAAAACCTTTTGGAATGTGTTTTCTAAATGCTTTTAAAAATCTCGGCGTTATTTTCAGAATTTGTAGCATAATACTAATTTTATAAAAGCTACATACCTGGCCCAGAACTGACAGGACTTATACCTGCAACAAAAGCCTCAGATTCTTACACTGGCCAGTGCATATCAAAACAAATACATTTGGAACAGAAGAGGGGAAAAAAAGTGACCCATCATAAAAGAACCTCTTTCTTAAGGCTGCTGTTCCCCCATACTGCCTTGAGGCTTTTTTAAGGAATATTTTCATAATATCACATAGCAGAATTTTCAGAAGGTGAAAATTGCTGTTTGATTGTTTTAGAGTTATTTTACAATTAGTATTAATCAAAAATAGCAAGTGTTTAATTCTTAAAATACTGATTTGAGTTCCCAGTGGGTTTTTTTATTCTTAGCTATTTAGAATTAATGTCAAATTGATGTGCCAGGTGATACATGTTTGGGATTTTTAATTTAAAAATAAAACTTCCTTGCTGTGCTAGACTGAACGCAGAGGTGGACCCGTGAATGTCATGTGGACAGTTATGTTCTATCTTATCTCTTTAAAGGAGTTTAAGATCATTATATTGGTACTATATTTCAGTAAATCTTTGTCTAGGGTCTGTATACAAATGTGAAATGAGTATAATGTATGACTTAAAATGTTGAAGTATTTTGGTACTGTCATGTAATGTGGGTAGATAAAGGGAAATTGTTATTCAGTGGTGGGGAACACATCAGCTAGTAGGAAATTGCTATCTGGAGATCGAGGGATCAGGGAGTCTCAGCACTGCCAGCATTTGTCAGACAGCTTCTGTGTAGTGGGCATAAGCAATTGTGTCATTTTTCAGTTGTGACTAGATGTGTGGGAAGAGTCAAAAATGGAAAATTCATTTCCTACTAAATGTAGCTTGAAAGCTATTTTGGATGTAATATGTTAATGTAAGATGATCTGGAGTGTAAATATGGGTTTTTAAAACATCTCTGTAGAGTTAAATGGGCACAGCTTTCAAAAAAAAGAAGTGTGTAACCTGAATGTATTTAGGAATGTCCTGAATGCTTTTCTCAAGACATGATGACTATTTATACCAGTGCTATAGGTTAAGTCATGACTGTTTTCAGGCATCACCAGCTCAGCCTACGCCACAAACACCAAATACAGGCGGTCGGCGAAGAAGAGCTGCCAATGAAGACCCTGATGAGAAAAGGAGAAAGTTCCTGGAGAGAAACCGGGCTGCTGCTTCCAGGTGCCGACAGAAACGGAAAGTCTGGGTGCAGTCATTGGAGAAAAAAGCTGAGGACCTGAGCTCACTAAATGGCCAGTTACAGGTATACTTTCTATTTAAAGGAAATTTTAGTAAGTTTTTTTGTTCTTACACAATGATCCTTGATCAGTGGAGCTTAAAACTTGGCATGAAATCTGGAAAACAAATGGTTTTATAACTGGTGGCTCAGCTCAGGCTTAAAATTCAGAGCTAGTTGCATATAGCAGTAAAATTAGAGGATAAGAGCATATGCATATTTCAAGATGTGTAAATTTAAGGATCATACCCTTCTATTCTTTGTTCCATTTAAAGTAATTTTCAGACTATGATACTAAATTGACAAGATGTGTTGGAATAAACACTTATGAGCGAAATAATAGTCTTACCTTGAACACGTCTTGCTCTTAATTTGTATCACAGCCTGGTTTAGTTTAGTAAGTTTTGGGCTTATTTCCTTTGATTCTTTTTAACTTTTTTTCCTTTAATGTGAATGTAATGCTCGTGAAAGGTGCCAGGTTGACATCAGTGGATACTGAGGGCCTCTTTTGTCCACAGGATGGGTACGGCAGTGGCAGTGCAAATTTTTACCACCAGCACCTAAATCCTATAGAGACGAAGTGTGCTGTAAGAGGGTAGGGCCAGTATATGTTGCGGGTTGCTTTTCCACTTCATCTGATCTCAGAGTTGTCATGTGAATGTACTTTTCCCCCATAGAACAATCCATGACCCTTTTGTTTAAACTACTATTAAATGTTAAAGCATACTTTCCTAATGTTTTCCAGCAGCACATGAAAAGTTGGCACAAATTACTGTTTTCAAAATAACAAGTCCAAAATCTTCATTTTGAAAGCTGCTGAAAGGAAAACTATGTAATTCCTAAATGAAGCATTCATTTAGAAAATTCAGTGAAATGTATTTTGATATGTTAAAGTGTCACTTGTTTTTCTTCATCAGAGTTGTTCACTGAGTCAAATTCACAGATCATCATCTTCCTATGAAAACTCACCTCTTGTGCTGTTTGCTATAGAAAACATCACCATTTGATCAACAGAAAAGTAGGGCACGTTGAGGTTATTTTTTATCATGCAATCAAAATTACAGTGTGTCAGTCATCTTCATGTCTTCAAAAATACTCAGTATCCAGACCCTGAAATGTAAAAAGATTCCTACCAAAGCACACACTGTGAAATGCCTTCCTGTGTTCCAAGAAGCATGACACTGTGTACAAGCATTACTTAAATTTCTTACAAATATCTATTTTTCTCATACCTATTCACAGTCTTTAGACATATTCACTTAATGCACAGTCCTCAGTTAAGTATATTAATTACATAATTATATGTAGCAATGTAGCTTAAATAATCAAAGGAGTGAAGGAGAATAAAAAAAAACCTGCCGTAATTCAGCTTTTTAGTGAAAGTAATGTTTGCTATCATGTGAACTGCCTTTCACATATATATAAAGTTTTATAACATAAAAATAATGTAAGTACCATAAGCAAAAGTTTTCCAAGTGTTAATTCAGTAATAGTGAATTCAGGATTTTCTTACAGTCTACCAAAAGCAAAACTGTTAACTGTAAAGAACAGAATAACTTGAAAATTGGATATTAGAGAAATAATTACACTGTACTTTATGTGAAAACATGAATCAATCCTGTATTTCCATAATAATAACTTGATAGGCTATCACAGCTGATCAGCAGAGTGGGCAGTAATGACCCATGATTACTTATATTTAATAGAAAATTTATTAAGTTTGGAGTTCTTCCTTAATGCAGGTTTATGGAATGTGTTTGGGTTAATAGTTCATATTTTGTTTAAAGTCTAAGTGGCCTGCTCAGCTGAAGTTACCAAGATGTCACATTTCCAAAAGCAGATTCATACTGAAAGGCCTGCATTGCATTTCTTCATGTAGCAATTCTGACTCCTTTCAATGCTGTTACTGGCTTTCTTGTAATGTCTGTGTCAGAGATTCCAGTGTCATTGTGAAGGTTTCTAAGATTGGAAGCTCACTAACAGTATGTGTGGATTTTGAAGAGGTTTGCTTGGTTGATGTATTTATTTTGTTCTGTAGATTTACTTCTATCAAGTTTTTCTTTAAAATGTTTGAAGGTAGGTTCATTTTTAAGCAGTATTTTTCAGATATTTGCTTAAGGGAAAATTTCCATCTTCTACATCTCTAGTAACATATATATGTTAGGCAGGCTGTCTTTATTATAGGCTGTGCTGTGTAAGTTTTTTCATGCTTCCAACATTTTGAAGTTTATTTACTGTTTTGATTTTTGAGGACTGTTTTCTATTCATTGTTGACATGTTTATTGATCTTAAATTTTATTCACCAGCTTGTGTGGCCTCTGTGCCTTGAACAATCCTGCAGGGTATAAGAAGGTATTGACAAATGCCCACAGTGGCTGCTGAGCCACGTTGCAGGATCAGATGCCAAAGTGCATTTATGTTCTGTATTTGGTCCCTGTTGCTTTAATAGTCTCAGAGGGTGAAGCTTTAGAAGAATGGCCTGTCTTCCTCATGAGGGCACAGTGGGTTTTCAGTGAGCAGCAGTCGAGTGATGGTTTGTACTGATGCTGCAGAAACTGTTCAGGAAGGCTAAATTATTAAAGTATGCCCATAAGTAAGGATTCTTTTCCATAGAGGAAGTTGCCCAAAAAGAAACGGGAAGAATGCTGTTTAACTCAGCCACAGACAATCCCCTGTCCTTAGAAATCACATTCACCTGCCTCTGATGGTACTTTGAGTAATAACATATCACGAATGTTTTCCCACACTGTGCTGATTAAGGGCTAATGTGGTCCTGTGGTCCCACTATTACATCTGTATTTTGGGTGCAGGGGGGAATGGGCAGATAGAGAAGAATGTGTCATAACGTGTGACCTCCCTTCATAAGAATGCAGAAGGGAAAGCATCTTTTGAAAGATGGAGTGCAGGTACAAGTCAATATGCTTTTGTCCAGAAACCTGCTTTCTCTTGCTAGCACATTTTGAAATGTGGGAACATGCAAATTCTTCTCAACAGTGTGTGAGCTATATTGCATACTTCTGTAAAGAACTGTTGATGCCTGCACTTGGTTCCATCTCACTAAAGAGGGGTACCCGTCCAGTGTAAAAATTTGAAATGATCTTTCTTTGTGCCACCTTTTAAAAGTGTTTATTTCATGTGTTTCTTGGTAGCCTGCTTTCAATATGTTAACCACATATTAAATGATCACCACACACTGACATGTTTTGAATGAGATGGAAAGATTTGCTGTTGTCACAAGCAATATAATTAACTGCAGTATGTATAGGAATGGGTTCTGAACAGCCTCCCTTTACCAGTTTGAAGTGGTTCTTACTGGTAATATGTAAATGGCAGCCATAGATTGCCTTTCTGTGGCATTCCCCATCCATGTGTCTAGCAGACAGAGCTCTGTTCTAGTATCATGAGTGGCGTGTGCATTGTATATAGCACTGTTGGCACAAGTGTTCCTGTTATGGAATATACGGCTACCACTGTTCTAGAGATTATCTCAGTGTCTTTTATATGGGAATGCTGATCTGTGTTTTTCAAATTTGCCTTAATGTAAGATAATATATTTGCTTTTTGTATTATCAGTCTTATTTTGCATTGTCAGTCTTAATATTTTTAATACAGCTGACATTGATCTATAAACTCTTACAAAATTTTTTCATAAACATATAATTTTACTTCCACAGATGAACAGCCACTTCATGCTTACATACATATATACATACTTTGTATACTTTGTATATAAAATTCTTCCTTAAAATGTGGGAGATCAGATAGAAAATTTCTGCAAACCTTTTCCTGATTGCCAGAGTTCCTTTGAGCTAACAGAACTATATTTCATAGTCTTGAGCACTGTTGCTTCTGTAGGTTATCAAGTGTCTCAAAACTACATCGGTGTGTTTTTTTTCTACCCAACCTGTGTCAATTCTGTGCAGCTGCCTGCATGGTATCAAGATTTGTGGCTCCTCAGTAAATAACATGGTGAACTAAGGGCAGACAGCTGCAGGCAGTAGTCCTGTGCTTTCTTAATAGCCTAAGGTTTCAGGACATGTAATGCCACCTGGTAGAGAATTTGTGGGGCTTTCGGTTGGGTTTCTTTCATTGCAAACCCTTTTTGTTTGCAGTCACTTTTTTTTTCATTATAAATGTCTGTGAATTCAGATTTTTGGCATCTTTCAGCTTTTGCTTTTAATAAAAAGTTTCTAAAGGGTATTCTATGCATAAAAGGACTGAGTAAAAAAGGAGACCTTAAGATGATTTTGCAGGTATAAAGGCTTGAAATTTGTTGTCTAAATTAAGACAGAAAACACAGAAGAGGAGCTTTTCTTTGATAGTCTGATATTTTAGTTACTTTGTGTAATTAAACGTAGTAAGTTCTGTTCTGGAAGAATTGTTTTCTTTTGGAATTCTTTAACTTGTAATTCATCTCATCTCTGGCTGCATTGCTTTATTTCTTGCTTGCAAGTAAATAGGTTGATTTTCTTGTAGTTTATTTTACAGATAATTTCAGGTGCAATCCAGTTTTCCTGTTTTTTTTCTTAAACTTGCTCCTAAATGCATAAACATAAGCATTTACTAAATAATTATGTCACGTGTAGTATTTTACAATAATATCCAAAGGTTCTTATACTTGAAGTAACTTCAAGTGTTAATAGAAAAGATTTATATTCAAAATAAAATAACCCATGAAAAACACGTATTGTGTCCAGATACAGGGATCACAAAGCATTACAGATAATTTGATTCATAAATATTTTTCTACTCTACAAAGTATAAGTGGGTCTATCAAAATGCCATACCATTCTTAATTTGGATTGTCAGATGTAATGCAGCTGCGTAGCACTCCTCATCTCTAGACACCAAGCTGCTTTCCAGGGAAGGTAAGTGTTGCTGTCCTCCAGTTTACAAATGGGGAAGGTGAAGCACGAAGCAGTGAAATGACCTTGCTCAAGGTCACCCAATAGTGGAAAGGCACAGTCTGGAAATGTACCCAGGCGCTGGATTGTGCATGTGCTGTCTCTTAGATTGTGCTCTGCTTTAGCAACACAAGCTGACATCTCTGGATTTTGTCATTATTATCAATGATCCCTTCAGAGAACACGTTTATGTATGGCTGCCAAAATAAAAATCAGTCTGGAGATCAACCAATATTTGCTAAATTATTTTCCAGTACATGAGATTTTTTTTTTGAAGTCTAAGTATCAATAGAGTCACTAAGAAATTATTCTGCATTTGCTTTTTGGATTTTCTTTTATGTTTTTCCCTTTTTTAATGTTTGCTGTGACATCTGTTAAAATGTGTGTAGCTAAATGTAGGTTTACTCTGATTAAAATTCATCACAAAACCTTCTAGAAGAGTCTCAGAGTAGCTGGATCATGTGAATGAGACTATATGTAGGGTCTGCATCTGCAAACAGAAAAATGTATGTTGTATTTTAAAAAAAAAAACCCAAGCATTTCCCAGTTAATGTAACAAAGCTAGCCAAGTTTCAGCTAATATTTGCATTTTCTAAGATAAAATATATACCAAATGGAAACTTCTTGTATTTCAGCTACCCCTAAATGAACAACTGAAAACCCTATAAAACTTAATGCTTACCTTCAAAACATGTGTAGTTTGAGCCTGGTAAAGTACATAACTTTCTTCTGCTTTAGAATGAAGTCACCCTGCTGAGAAATGAAGTGGCACAGCTGAAACAGCTTCTTCTGGCTCATAAAGATTGCCCTGTAACTGCCATGCAGAAGAAATCTGGCTATCATAGTGAGTAATGTTCCATTACCTATAGCCTGAGGCTGCATCAATGAAATACTGCCAAAAAGAACTGAATGAACATTAAAATTGAGAAGTGCAGTTCTAATATAACACATATTACATTAAAGAGCTTTTTTTTTTAAGTTGTTGGAAGACAGGAATTAATACATGATATTTAAAAATATATGTTTAAGTCAAAATTGAATTGTCGCATAACACGGTAAGGTTTATGTTGGTTTAATGAATGCATATGATAATTAGCATTTAAGGACTATCTGTTACTACACCTGCTTTGGAAAATATAATTAAAGTATTAAGAGCACATGATAAATCATTTCTTATACTTTATCGTAGCCTAACACAGTGAAAGGTCCTTGTGGGTGTTTTTCCTTCATTGTAATGAGATTTCAGTAGAGGTACTATAACAGCTGTCCTCATTTACCATAACATCCAGGATCAGTCGAGCCATTAAAATAATCAGATGCAGGTTCATGGCTCCTACTGTACAATGTCTTCTAGATTGTTTTGATATCCACATTAAGCGACTGCTTTTCTGAAGAGAGGTTGTTTTTAAAAATAGTTCTGGTTTTGAGGGGAATACTGACACTGTCAATACCAATATTTTCTAATCCATATTTTTATTTTAAGTTGTTCTATTGACTTTTCATCCTTCCAGCATTTTAAAGGTTAATTATGCTTTCCTGACTTGTAGCTTCCTTTTTGGCTGTGATACACAGTGCCAGAACCAGCTGCTGCTGCTGTAGAATAAATGGCCAATTTTGTCCATTGTACACAAATTTGTTACAAATAACTGAGCTGGGAATGCATTAGGCAACATTCATAATATATAACCCACAGCTTTCGTTTTTATGATTTAGTGATATTTCAAGATATTTGTAAATGTGAAGATTGTTTCTGCCATATGTAGCCACTTCATTTTAATTTGCCAGTGTCAGTAATTCAGGAGAATAAAGGAACATTTTGTACTGCATGCAAACAGATCCTCAGGTGCTTGCGATAAAACTTAATAGCCACCATCTTTACTTGTAGTCATTGTAAGCAATTTCATCAGAATGGGCAATATTTTTTAATTTAAAAGATTCAGGAGATTTAGCAACTCTGTATTGCCATATATATTTAGAATACTGATTTTGTCAGTTTTGAGCTTATAAATCTTGGTCCTTTGATCTCCAGTCATTTTGACAAGACAGAAAATAGCATCTTGGAGTAAATTGGAACAGTATAGAAATACGTTTGGGATTTATATTAACAATGATTGCTGCAGGGATGAGGCCATTATGGCTCCCATCTGACAGAACAACATAATTTCATACAGAAGCTACTAGGGGATAACATTATGCATGCAAGGTTTTTAACAAAAAAAACCCCAAACAAACAAACAAAAACCCAAAAAACCCACACACAAAGAACAAACCATAGGTTTCTTGCATTTTGATGTTTTAAGGATTCATGTTCCTGAATTGGGATGTAAAACATTTCGTTTTAAGTCATGAACTGTCAAGTGATTCCATGCCAAGGATTTCTTTGTTGAAGGATTAGTGACTGGCCTGTCTAGTAGTGCTTGTTTTCAGCCTTCAGTAAAGTACTATAATGCTTCTGATTTAGTAAAGAGTACAGAATGAGTCAGACCTAAAATACTAATCAGTGGTATAAACCTACATTTGAGAAAAAAATAGTATTATGCAAGGCAATTGGAAGCATAGCTGAGTTTCTGGGAAAGTCTGTTGAAAGTAAAAGCTTAACATGAATGATAGTTGTAATGTCATCCCTCTGAAAGGATTTTATCACATTATCTGTGTATGAATATTGTTAGGAAAGCATGTTGGCTAAGTGACATACCCACACTACGGTTTATGAGAGAAAAAAAACCAGTTTCAGTCAATATGTTCATGAAAATGGTGTTCCTATAAAGTACATTTAAATAAACATGTTACATTCATCAAATAATCAAAGTTGAATTGCTTAAAAAATGTTGTGCGTGGTTTAAAAGTCTTGTCTCTGGAAGAAATTGAAGACCCCATCTTAAAGAGCTCCTGCAGTGCTGAGTATTGTGCACTGCATAGACCACATTTTCAGCACCAAAGTCCACAATTTGATAGCTCTTCATGCATTATGCTCTTAAATAGGAGCAAATAATCTATCACTTGCCCTTTACTTTTACATATATTTTATGATCTTTTGTATTTCCCAGACACATTTTTTTTTTCCTCAGGCCAGTCTCAAGCAAATCTGAAAGGGATTGCAAAGACAAGACTAAAGAAGATCAAATTTTGTTCCATTGCTTTGTCCTGAGCAATGCTTCATGCCTGCTTCTGGCTATGTTTGTGTCACAATAGTCAGTAGTAAGTTTAAAAGGGAATTCCAATGTTCCACCTGGAAACTGGTTTGGGTCAGTTTATAAAACTGGTGTGAAAAGTACTTGAAAACATTAAGTAGCACAAAGTGATGCAAAAACAGTTATAATGAAATTCAGCATTAGTATTTCTATTTTTGAGTGAAAAACAGTAGGATAATTTTCTGTTCTTGGTTTTTTAGTTTTGTACTCAGCTTTTAGTTTGAGAGTGTTTGCATAATACCTTGGCTAACTCCTGCAGCTCTGGAAAAAAGGATGATTAGCATGACTAGAATGTCTGTGCAAGAAGAACATTTTAAGTCATGATCATTTAGGAAATTCTAGTTTGCACAGTGATAATTTTTTTAACCTGCTTACCCTCTGTCATGGGAAAAAATTATGTAATTCTGTGGCTAATTCACTTTGATTTTGTGGAAAACACCTGAAATACTCTGAAAATATTTTTAAAACCAGTTTTATCCATTTTAAGACCTATAGAGAGGCATTTGTAAAGTTATGAAACTTCACTCTGTTAAAGGAACAGGGCCTGAAAACTTGCATAAGTATTGTCCAGCAAATATAGTGGTGTAAGTATATTTTTTCAGATGTCATACTCATGATCACAAATTTTATTACTGAATGTAGAATTATTCTTGTTTGATTACTAAGCAGACACAATAAATAGCATTTTTTAGTCTGTGAATAATGCTTACTGATGTGAACATGCATCATTAGAATTAGCTATAACACCCACTGTCTGATTTACTAGGCAGAAAATTTTAATAATGGCTTTGAAGAGATGAAAATGTTCTGGTTTCCTGAATAGTCCATACTGCAGTCCAGTTTTTATGCTTACAATGTAGTATTATTCTTTTTTAAATTGAAATAAGCATGTTTTGCAATTTGCACTGCATCACAGCATGAATTTTAGTTGTTTAGGGCTGATTGCTGTTACGGGGATGAGGTGGCGTGCATTCCCGGGACAGAATAAATAAAGGAATTGTTCTTGTTCAGCTGCAGATAAGGATGACAGCTCGGAAGACATCTCTGTGCCCAGCAGCCCGCACACAGAAGCGATCCAGCACAGCTCTGTCAGCACTTCCAACGGCGTCAGCTCCACGTCCAAGGCGGAGGCGGTGGCCACCTCGGTGCTCACGCAGATGGCGGACCAGAGCACGGAGCCCGTGCTGTCCCAGATCGTCCTGGCGCCTCCCTCCCAGGCCCAGCCGTCAGGAAGTTGATTAAAAACTTGCGTTGCATCAGTTTCTTAGATACACATCTGTGACTTTAAAGGGAAACCAACAACAGACCAGTCTCCATCTAGGAGAAATTGTAGCTTAAATTTTTAAAAATCCAACTTAAATTTGGCTTTAATGATTGGCAGGTGGAAATAAGACAGAACACCAGTTCTAGTCTCTTTGCAAAAGACTTTTTTTTTTAAGTATTAGTTTTACTAGTTCTATTTTGTGCTTAATGTGTAAAGTGTGTGTACAGTACAATGTGGTTTATTTCATTTTTAATTTGGTATTATTTTAACAAACATTGGGGTGAATTACTGAAGGTCATCCCCAAGACTGTGATAGGAATATTATGTGACATTTTTATACCAAAGTTCTGCATAGTCCCTATTGACTTTGTAAAGTTAGCAAGGTCATAAAGCACTAGGCAAGAGAAAGACGGTAACAGTAAATTTGCTTTTAGTCTTTTTGCCTTTTTGTTGTTTTGCACATTATGAGAGGAAGAACATTGGAAGAAAAACATTTGGGTTTTTTATGTATAGCATTTTGGTTGGCTTTTAACTGTTGGGGTTTTTCATTTGTTTAATAGGGCCAGTACAGTATATGAGATACAGTACTTATGCACATACCAATCCTAGATGAGGATCATTACTAAATAGATTTGATTCTTTTTTTTTTTTTTTTAATGGATGTCAAGTGGTTTTTTTCCCACTACCAACACTTGATTCTGGTGGGAGGAGAGCTTTAATTCTCCAGTCAGAATAGATACCTAAAACCACCCCTTGTTGCTAGGCTGAAACGAGTAAGCATATTGTAAAATACAGGGTTATCTAATATGGAATACTTGTTATTCCAAAGTAGGCTGATATTTTGTGGATTTTTGAGTCGCAGACTAAGGAGTTTACTCATGATTTTGGATGCCAGAAAAGCCTAAAATCCTTCTTCAGACAACTCGACTTTTTTTTGTCATTGTCTTGTATTTGCAAGCTAACTTGTACTTAATTCTTGTGTAAGCACTGTCATCTTTTAGTAGCAAAAATTTTGATACCTTTCTTGTGGAAAAAAAAAATCAGTATCTACCGTATCTTGGAAACAATGTAATTATAATGTGGTGTGTGTGGTGTGTGTGTGAGAATGGTTCAGTAGTTAATGCCAGCAGTCTTTTGCTTGAATGTTTAAAGATGCCTTCAATGTGATGCTGGCTGATAGGTGATTGCAGTTTTAAAATGTTATTTACTGTGCGAACTTGGATAACTAACATTCCATGATGTAGTTTGTTTCTGATGAGATGATTGTAGGTACACTTTTTCTCATTATCCAATCATCTGTAGGATATTGAGTTTTTTAAATGTGCCATTATCTATTTTGATTCTGTACTCATGTTCAAAATACAGTACAATATTTTACAATAGATTAAGTTGTTTTAAAAAAAGTAGATGTGTGCTTTCAGGTCGGAAAACTTTGTATAATAGCAAAAACAGATGCATAGTAGCAACTGGCAGTAAAGCAGGATTCCATTATGTATATAACAAAGATTTAATGCATTTATAATGGGTTGTGTAGTTCATTTGCTCTTCCTTCTCCACACTATACCATGCGTTTTTAAGTGTCGGTGCCATCAAGTTTCTATTTGGTTCAGTTTTAAATCTAAAAATGTAATTGATCCACAGGAAAATATAATTTCTGCAATATATATACAACCATACTGTAATGAAAACTGGACAAAGAAGTATCTAAGTCATATATGTATCATTGCAGGGCTTTAAGCATGAAAATATTAAGGATTCTAAATATTTTGTATTTTAAAACTAAGAAAGTTGTGTTGATAACCTCATGTGTTTACAAGTCTTGCTTTCCCAATTTCAAGATAAAAAGCTGTAACAGTTACTGAACGTTTCCAGGATGGTTAAATACAATGGACCTCTTGTGAGAAAGAAATTAATTGCAAAGGCACAAAATGTGAATTCTGCAAGAAAGCTCTACAGTCACTTTTCATTGTAGTTTTGGTGGACTAGATGTGGCCTCATTGATTATACTATAATTTGCTCTCCTAAACACAAAGGCTTCTAAATCATATAAATGGAGTTTTTTTTATAACAAAACTGTTGCGCTTGTAAAATAAGTCTACATAAGTGTATAGGAGATGTGTAAACAGTTAATGATTTTAACAGTGGGGCTGGAAAAAGAACCATTAAAATCTGTGTTCAGCAAATAGAGAAAAGGTATTAGCCGTACTACCATGGATTCCGTTATGAGACGTTGTCACACTACTTCTGTACTTAGCATTTTGGGTCTTTACATTTGACATGTTTCACAAACTGTACTGTTTTCTTTTATGTGCAGTTTGCATGAGTAAATCATCAAAGAGAATAAAATCTATCTTTAAGTTATGTTCCTATTTTAATGAAATTATAATTGTTCTAAAAGGCAGCACTGTCTTCAGACTTTTCTTCATCCTTGTAATTACCAGCATTTTTCTGGAAGTCATGATTATAATGTCAAAGTAGTGTTATGTAAATGAGAACACGTATGTTTCTTGAGAAAATAAGGCAAATACCATTGCTCTGCAGCTGAGCTCCAGCAGCTTCTGGGGAACAAGCATTGTATCATTAGTTCCAGGAGCCCAAGGTAATCCACAGATAAATGAGTTCATAAACATAGCTTGGTGATCCCAGATGTTGCTCAGCCATTCCTGGTTGCCCTGAGTTCCACAAAAAGCACTGTGTATAATCAGAATTTCCACCTAACTTCCAGTTATTTTAATCTTATTTCAGTATACATGAAGCCAGAAATAACAGCTGTAATCAAATGAATGGTTCACAGCTGTACTGTCAAAGGTTCAGGAAAAATCATGCCCCCACACCTGATGTTTAGAATAGTAAAAATGGTTTGGGCTTATTTATGGATGCTGGAAATGTGTGGCATGGCACATTCTGTTACCATTTGAAAAGCTCATGCCAGAACCCCAATACAGAGGCTTTGGAGGAAACAAAAGGGTGAAGTTGCTGTGTGTCTGCATTTGTTCCATGTAGGGACCAAACAAATTGAAGCTGCACACAACTTTTTAACCCAATGTGAGAAAACTGTGTGAGGCCTCCCTTGCTTCATTACGTTCTTGTGTTCTGACTATGACTTGTGCTTGTGATTCCAAGGGAACAACAAAAGACTGTATAACAGGGGTACTTTGGGGCAAGGGGTGTGAGGGGTGGAGAACCAGCCCACTCCTTGATGTCTATGCTGTAAAAAGACTCAGGTTTATATCTTAACTACTCAATCTAAGTAAGGGGTTTTTTTCTGTTTACAGTGGTAAGAGAGGCTGGGCAAAGGAAGATACTACACCAGGAAGAGATGACAGAAGTGTGGGATGAGCAGTGATTTCAGCTACCTGAATCACAGGAGTAATTTGCTTAGAAACAGACACAAACATTTTAATTGGTCATCATAAATGATAATGAGGAGAAAGCATAGTGAAATTAAGTGCATCCTAATAAAGTAAGGTATGTTAAATTGCAGTGAAGGAAACTTGAGCAATGCTTCTTGACATGATTAATACACTCATGACAATGTGTCTAATGAAGGCTGTTTGCATTTATATGCTGCCTGTTGCTTCCCTCAGTAGAGACATAATTGGCACTGTGCTCATTTACACTGCAGAACAGCCAGTGTAAGATTGGCTTGCACTAGCCTTTAGATTTGTTTTTAACCATTGTATCAAAAGTAACACTGGTATGATTTATTTAGCACATGTGTAATGCTGTATAGGGTTGGTTTGGACAATTTTATAATGAAATATTCAAAGTTTTGTATTCTTCAATGGTAACTCTCCTTTTAATTTTAAGGGTTAATGTGACTTTTTTTTCTTTCTATTTTTTTCCCCTTCCTTTATGGAATGAAGGATCATGACCTTTCTTTTTCTTTACTTTCTTCCTATTCAAAATATTTTTCTTTGTGTGATGAACCCCAGAAAGTGCTTATATATTCAGTGTGGAATTCTTTCTTTTTTTGTATTGTTTCCTCCTTGATTGTCTTAACCCTCTATAGCAAACTTTCTAGAAGTTAGAAGTCAGAAAATGAATTTCTCCACACTCTGTACCTTGTCTTCAGCTAAAATAGATATGAGAAGCTTATGTTATCTTGATATTTACATCTTCCTAAACTAAGATAAATTATATATGTTTAGGTATGGACGTACTTCTGAGTGTTACAAAAGATTTCATTACAGATGCTGTGCACAACTAATGAGTGTAGGTCGTATGCTGATGGCTTCATAACTGCAAAGTGCAACCCCCTCCAAAAAAGCTTTTAAATTCCTAGGTGAGTGGTGAGTTATCTAATCACATGGCTGTCAATAGAACAAGAAGATAAATCAACTTGATCCAGTTTCTGTAATTACTGGGTTTTGCTCAAAATCTTTATCCCTCTTCTATTACCATTTTCTATAATGATGTTTATTGTTATAGGCACTTTATCCTATTCATTCTTGGGGGAAGAGGCACAGGAGAGGATGTTCTTAAGTTTTTAGATAAACTACCTGTAACTTAATTTAATCAGGGATGAATCGTTAATCAGAAATGTGTTGTAAAATCATTATGCAAGGACATTTATTATTTTTAGTCCATAAATAAAGAGACAGCAGCTTAAGCTGCATAGACTGACTAAAAATGATAACAAGCACAGAAGTTGCAGAACAGCTTGAAGCAAAGAAAAGGAGTCATGCTTCTAGGAACTCTTCTGTGGTTTTAATATCCATAGAACCGGAGCAGGGAAGAGAGTGGGCAATGTTTGTAACCACCTTGGGCAACAGGGCCTGGTGATACTCAGTTTGTAATTAAGAAGCTTAAAGGAGAGTACTCTGGCTTAGGGAGGACTGTCAGTGCTGGGCTGAGATGAGCTTCAGGAATGAGGGCACTTCCAGGGAGAACTTTCAGAGAAGCAGGATTGCACCTCACCCCACTCTTGCCTGTGGCTATCTCAATACTTCAAAGTACAAACATGATCTATTACAACTCCATTTCATACCATCTGTGCCCAGGTGGATGGAATGTGCTGAAAGCTGGTCTGATGGCTGTGTTTAGCTACCTGAAAGATGAAAGTTAAGGTCTATTTTTTTCCTGCTGCCTAAAACACTTCTGCTCTCATTTTGCTGCAAGCTAGTATTGGCATGGTTCATGAATAGTATTTCCCTCCCTTTAGCTGAATCCCTTGTTCTAGACCATTACAGGAGGCAAAAGTACTGCCTTTGAGAAACAACTGAGCTGCTGCATTTTATTAATGGAATGATTGCATAAAGCCTATTGCTTATGTTTAAAAAGAAAACGGGGAAATATATCTGTCCTACATCTGGGATTCTAATCAGGAGAAAAAGGAGATGAGCAAGGAGAGAATGAGCCCACTGCCTTAGCAGCAAACAAAATAAACTGCCCTGAATAAATTGAGAAAATGGAACCAAGGGGGAAAATGTCTGCACCAAGAAGGTGCTGCATTTCACTACTCAATTATAGCAGCCCTTTCCTCTGACACAAAGATGTGTTCTGTGAAGATCTGTTTCTTCCAAATGTTTGCAGTGATGTTGGATGATCTCACTTGAGGTAAGTAGTATAAACATCCTGTTATTCATAATGCTGTGTTGAGAAAGATACTCTTAAAGGTGATATAATGTATAGTACAGTCATTCTGGCTGCCTTTAAATGCCAAGAGACTTTACAGTCAGCCTGGCTATGATTAGAAAACAAGCAAAAGGCTAATATTTCAGTTTTCCTGCTTTCTGTCCTTTCTTTTGACAGAATTGCTGTAAAGGGCTAATGATTTGTGCTGAAAAAATATATAATCCTTGTAAATACCGAGGAGATGCTGTATGTTTCAATGGATGACATTTTGAGCACTTGCTCATTTTGTTGACTATTTAATGACTCTTAAGCTATTAAGTTTACAATTTATGACTTGAATACATGTATGAATATGTAAAGTATTTCTTTATCCTTTATCCTGTACAACCATTTACCCAAACTTTTTAGAGTCCTGATTGTAATACGACTTTTTTCTTCTCTAAATTATGCAGCACTCTCTTGAATGCTGTGTAGGAAGGTTGCTGCCCATAGAGCCTTGAGCTCTGTTCCCAGTCACCATACAACCAGAATGCTGTTTCTGAGCTGACAGCAGGGTTGTATTTGTCACATATGGCACAGCATTGGTTTCTTGGTATGGAAACACATTATACTGACTTGGATGCTTCCCTTGTATTTTAAGTACCAGTTTGTTATATAAATTCTGTACTTTTCCTGCTTACAAAGATCTGGAAAAGTTCTTTTGTTTCAAGAAAGAAACTCAGTCTTTATCCGCTCTTGTAATTTCATGTCTAGTTTAGGTTTTGTTGTTTTCACATACTGGATAAGGGTACACACCCCTCCTTCATGGAACTGCACTTTATAATGTGCCAGGCGCTCAGACATATTCTGGAGAGTGCATAAATCCCACAGGTCTTGTCTGTGGAAGAAAATGTCACCCATTTGTCAGAGTTAGATTGTTACAAACTTCAACAGATTGAAAACTTTTGGTTTGTTGTGTCTACCGATTTATTCTGGTCCAGTTTATATTGCTGGAGAAAAGTACTAAACTTAATTTAAACTAGAAAAAGGTGCAGGTGTGTAATTACTAAAACTGTATAAAGCTGAATAAAGTGTTGCAGCACACAATTTCTTAAAATATTTGACTTAAAGCAGCTTTTCTGCATTAACAACTTCAAAGAAGCTAGTGCCTGTTTTATGAAGAGGTGAGGATTAATTTTATCTTAGTGAACTAAGGTTCCTTCTATAATGAGTCTTTTCCAAGCAAGTATGAGAGCAGGATTTGTTTTAGCCACTGCTAGTGACCATTAATGCTGTCAGTAACCATAATTTAGTCAAAGAAAATTTGAGCAGTGTACAGACTTGCTGTCACCATCATGTAGTCTCCTTAGTCCTGCTGCAGAGTAAGGGAAATACTCCTGCTTGGTTTAATCTGACACAGAGATTTACAGATTCCAAACAATAGCATGTTAAACAATGCCACCTGCATGTCACCCCAGCTTGTACCCAGCAGAGCTTCATTGCCCCACTGGGTATGATACATTGTACCCTGCAGGGATTAAAAACGTAAATCATCACAGCTTGTATAAGCTGAAACTAAAATGAAACACTGAAAAATATAATATTAATAAGTGAATATTATTAAATTATTATTTCATAATAAGAAAATTGTACAAGCTCTCTTCCTGAATGGAAACTCTTTTTTATACTGCAATCTGTTTTAAGAGTTTATCCAAAAATAACACAGGAAATACTGTATATAGTTACTGGAGCAAGACATTTCTGGCAGATTTCCATGGCATGCTTAGAGTCTGTGACTTGGCCTACATTTGTCTTTCATTTAAAATGTGGAAGAGATTTTTGGTAA